TTTTTTTTTTTCTCTTCTTTCTTTTTTTTTGTTTTCTCAAGTGTGTCGTTCCTAGGGAAGCGGAGCCCGGCCTTCGCGCAGCGACCGGGCCTTCCCTTGGCCGACCCCCCTGGGGCTGCGGCGCGTATACGGGAGTGCCGGCGGCCGATAGCTGAGCGAGGTACTGGTGGTTTAATATCTGATCCGTGGTCCATCGGGCCACTACGATATTAAATTAATTTTTCTGGGCTATGGAGGAGTCATATGGGTAAGCTTGCTTGCTCGACCCCTCCAGCGTTGCCTCTCTATTGCACTGCAGCAGAGTGCGCCGCAGCCCTCCTCCCCTCCGGGGGATAAAAAAAGAAAAAAGAAAAAAAAGAAAAAAAAGAAAAAGAACCTCCTCCCTCGTGGCACTCTTGACGGTTCAAGAGCGCCCCCTGCAGCAGCGGGAATTTCAAGGGAGGCATCCAGGGGCAAGGTCCCACTTGCACGGAATATGAGATTCTGACCGTTGATTCGTGCTATCTACGGCCAATATCTCCTAATTCGTGTAAGTGGGACCTAGCCCCAGGACCTTAGAAAGTTGACACCGCGTGCTGACCGTCTCGTTTTGCTCTCTGGAAAAGCGGTCTGACATCCGAGAGGCCTTCTCGAGTTCGACCGTCTAGAGTAAGGGGCTCGCCACACCAATGTAGAAATCGTGTGAAAGACAAAAATGTGGAGGGCGCATCTGGGCATGCTCTAGCAGCAAGTTCATTCTCCTTTTTTGCACATTTAGAGAGTGGTATGGCGATGCCCTAAGTGGCACTATGTTCGCTTTTTCAGTCATTTCTAGAGTCTGACAGCTCTAGACTCCACTCTCGGAAATCTTCGAGAGTCTAGAGTAATGCAGCGAGACCCATAAGCCCGACCGAGACTACGCCCTTTTTTTTTTTTTTGTTTTGTTTCTTGTTTGTTTCTTGCAGGAAGATCCGAAATCTTGCAGATCCCGAAAAATCATTTCTTTACCTTTGCGATCTTCCCGCCGGTCAAAATTCTCCCGACACTTAGGCGGGTTGTTAGCTGCGCATCGATTTTGACGAGGGCAGCGGGCGCGATAGCGGTAGCGACAGCGGCGCGGTCGAGCGCGCGGTGTCGCTCATCTCCACCATTCGCGTCCGCGTGTCTCTCTTCTCCTGCCAGCTGTCGTCGCTGGCAGTCGACCACGCCTATTTCTGTCGCTGCAACGGTTTTGGACTTCTCTCTTTGCCGCTCGGCGCAAGGTTCTCTGTCAGCTTGTTATCACCTCGCCAATCAATCACAGTGTGTCAGAATGAGTTTCAAGGATGATATCGATATCGTCATTCCGACCATCAGAAACTTGGACTTCTTGGAGCAATGGCGTCCTTTCTTTCAGCCTTATCATCTGATCATTATTCAAGATGGTGATCCATCAAGGACGGTCAAAATCCCCGAAGGGTTTGACTATGAACTGTACAACAGGAATGACATCAACAGAATTCTTGGCCCCAAATCCTCTTGTATCTCGTTCAAGGACAGCGCCTGCCGTTGCTTTGGCTTCATGGTATCGAAGAAGAAGTACATCTACACGATCGATGACGACTGCTTTGTAAGTGGTGAACTCTTCTCCCTCTCTCTCTCTCTCTCTGTGTCTCGGTTAACACCCCTTATCTCTCTCTCTCTCTCTCGCGCGCGCGCGCACTGGAAGTGTTTTTGTCAGCCGTTCGACTGTCCTTTTCTCTCTCTCTCACTATGTCTCCATGCCCCCCTCCTTTCTTCCTCTATGTAGCGAAATCCTTGGTTACTGTCTGCCTAATGAAGTGCTGTCTGTTCGGTTGCCCTAGCAGCGAGAGGGCTGTTCGGTTGCCCTAGCAGCGAGAGGGCTGCTTGATTCTGTTTCTTTCCCTCCCTCTCAGCTCTCCTTACCCTCTCTCCTTCTCTCTCTGTGTCACCGTTCCTCTTCCGTCTTCCTCTATATAGCAATAGTCTTCCTTTATATAGCAACAACCTGCTTTCCCTATGTTAGCGGCCCGGTCGATCTAACACTTGGACGTCATCTTGATTCTGTTCTCTCTCTCTCTCTCTCTCTCTTTCTCAGCTCTCTTACCCTCTCTCTCTCTCTCTCTCACAGAGAGCTGCTTACCCTCTCTCTGTCTCTGTGTCTCGGCTCCCTTCCTCCCTTACATAGCCACAACCTTCTTTCCCAATGTAACCCGCACCGTCGCCCTCCCTACCCGTTTGACAGCTGCGTGATTCTTTCTTTTTCTCCATTCCTCTCAGCTCTTCTTACCCTCTCTCTTTTTTTCTCTGTGTCACCGGTCCTGCTCCGTCTTTCTTTACGTAGCAAGGACCTGCTTCCCCTAACCTTACCGGTAGGGACACGATCGGTCAGCCGATTCGACGGCTAGTTGATTCTGTCTGTCTGTCTGTCTGACTGATTGACTGTCTGTCTGTCTCTCTCGGCTCTCCTTTCTCTCTCTGTTGTTTGCTCTCCCTTTTTCCTGTACAGAGCAACAAGCTTCTCTCCCTTATCCGATCTGCACGGTCGCCGTACCGGTTCGACAGCTGGTTGATTCTGTTTCTCTCCACCTCTCATCTCTCCTTACCCTCTCGTTCTCTCTCTCTCTCTCTCGTTTTTTCTATGTTCCTCGCTCTTCTTCCGTTATGTAGTATCATCCTTCTGTCCCTATCTTAGCTGCCCGGTCGCCCTACTGGTTCAGGGACTGCGTGGTTGGGCCTCGTTGCCGGCCTTGAAGTTCTCTGCATCTGCTTAGTTTGTTGACTGGTTGTACTCGGTCGCTTTCGGCGGAAGTCTTTTCGACTTACATGGTTCTTAAAGTAATAACACACTATTATGGTATCCAGGATGATATCAGTTAAACCGAGAGTATGCTGGACGGTTAAGATTGACTGCGGAAGTGCGTCTCTTGATTGCTCTGTTATCTGTCGTCGTGATTATGATGTTTGTTGTCCGTTGTCGTAATGATGATGTTTGTTGTCTGTTGTTGTCGTAATTATGATTTGTTTTGTTCTCTTTTGCCGTGATGATGATGATGATGATGGTTGCTTTCGAATGGCTCAGTAACCGTTCGTTGTGAATAATGGGGTTGGCGGGAAGAAAGCCTTGTGTGCCAATGATGGGTGAGGAATTCGTCTGCTGGTGTGGCTGGGGGCGGGGTTGATCCCTTCGCTCTTAAATTGCCTTGTTATCTTTATCTTGGGACTACGTTGGAGAGTTCACCGACCCGTACGTGTACTATATATCGTCACAAAGTTATAGCGTCAAACAGAGCTGCACGGTAAACCGTAGGCAGAGAGGGAGAAGAGGACAACAAACGAAGGGCTGTGATAGACTGTTTCGTCAGAGCTTCACCGACTCTCTTCTTCCTCCCTCTCTGCCTACGGTTTACCGGGCAGTTTTCTTTGACGTTATATAGATATATACGTACGGTGACTCCAACGAAACAGCTTGTTGGGCGGCCTTGTACGCAAGAGGTTCTGAACAGGGGGAGTTGTAAGGAAGAAGGTCAAAAACGAATTTAAGTTTTTTTTGTTTTCCTTGTTTTTTTGGCTTTGGCGCTCTGATATTATGTGACAATATATTTATATCTATATATGATGGTGTGTGAACCGACAGTCTGTAGAGTTTTCCATCTGGTGTGGATGAGTGATAGTCTGGTTTGATTATAGTCACAGGTACCTTGAGGGCAGTGGTTGGTGGTCCCCACTACCTCAGGGCATCAGTCGTCGGGCAGCCGTTGATGCTTAACCACAGCCGGGGTTAAGGTGGATTATCACCTACAGTGTAATCAGTTAGGGGATTGTGCAGACTGTTGAGGGTTCAGACTCCTGATGAGTCGGTGAAACTCCGATGAAACAGTTTTTGTCACAGCCCCTCGTTTCTTGTCCTCTTCTCCCTCTCTGCCTACGGTTTACCGGGCAGCTCTGTTTGACTCTTTCTCTCTCTCTCTCTATACATAGGCGCTCTGATATCATGTGACAATATATACTGCCGACGCCTTTTCCTTTTTTCTTTTCCCTTTTTTGCGCTCTGATTCACAATGTGACAATATATAGGCGCTCTGATATCATGTGACAATATATACTGCCGACGTTGCTAGCTCTCTACTTTTGTAGATGATGCGGCTAGCGTCGGGCCTGTACTAGCAGGCTCTTCTTTGGCTATGGTAGAAAATAATCCGTCCTATTGTCTCATATCTTTTCCTTTTGTCTTTCCCCCTTTGTTTAGGGGTATTTTGTTTTGGGGACCTACTGTATGGTTCCGTTTTTTTAACTATGGTTATGGTAGAATTTTTCTTTTGAATGAGAATCTTGTCTGCTTCGATTCCGGTTGATTCTGTCCCCTTATTTGGTCTATCTTAGGGAGGAGGGATGGCGGTGCTTCATGTGGGATTGGTTATCGGGTTATCGTTTTGCAGGCAAGTGTTTTGACATCCTGGTTGGCTTGGTTGTTTCCCGTTGTTTGGCCCTTTGAGCGCGGGGCGGTGCTGTATGTGGGAATCGCCATCCGGGATTGTCTTCTCCTTCTTTTTGGTTGTCACATTGTGGATTGGAGCCTTGTTTTGTTTTGCTGATTTTGTCTGTACCTCGATTGGTTTGGTTCCGTTGTTCGGGCATCTTATGGGCGTGGCTGTGCTTTCATGTGGGACCAGCCATTCGGGTTTTTGGCATCCTGGCTGGTTGTTTCCCGTTGTTCGGCCCTTTGAGAGGCGGGGCGGTGCCTGTATGTGGGAATCGTCATCCGGGATTGTCTTCTCTTTTTTTCTTGGTTGTCACACTGTGGATCGTCGCTTTTTTATGTCTTGTCCTGGGTGGTCTTGTCCCGTTGTTTGGCCTTTGACGGAGCGGGCGGTGCTTGCATGTGGGACCTGTCTCTTATACACATCTAGATGTGTATAAGAGACAGCTTCTTTGCCTCTTTGCCTTTTGGCTGTGTGCAAGTGGGTCGATATGACACACGGGGGTGGGGGCAGCCGCCGCTCAACCTACATCCACGTGGGCGGCCTTGTACGCAAGAGGTTCTGAACAGGGGGAGTTGTAAGGAAGAAGATTAAAAACGAATTTAAGATTTTTTTGTTTTTTTGGTTTTTTCGCTTAGGCGCTCTGATATCATGTGACAATATATGTATGTTTGACGATATACTTGTGACAATATATATGTATGTTTGACGATATATATCTACGCTGACCGGTCACAAGGTCAAAGCTGTTAATTCTCTCAGCTTTTTGAACTCACTGTGCGTTTCATCTCTCTCTCTCTCTCTCTGTAGTCAAACGATATGTGAGGCAGCAGTTATCTTGCGTTAAGAAATGCTACTGAAACGGGTTCTGTAATTGTGCGGTGGTCGTTAGGCTGTGTCATCTCGGAAATCTGATTTGTAATGTCAATCTCGCCGCAACTTCAGTTGGGCTATTAAGAAATGGTGGCTTTCTGGAAAGTGGTAGATTGTTCTTGTTCGTGGAGAGAGAGAGAGAGAGAGAGAGAGAGAGAGAGAGAGAGAGAGAGAGAGAGAGAGAGAGAGAGAGAGAGTAAAACGACCCTCTCGAGGAGATGGTGGGATAGGAGGAAGATAATTACTGTAAGTGAACCTGGTTGTCGATATATTTACTGTCTTGCCGCAGCAGCAGCAACCTTTTCTGTTGTTTCAATGCTGCAGGTTACGCTCTTCAAGCGTTCGCTTGCTTGCACAGAAGTGTAGTATTCCGTCTCGAGCCATCGCAATGAGTTGGCATACAGGAAGGTCGCCATCCATTTCCTGTTCCCTCTTGACGTTAATCGAAATCGGAAGTTACGTGCGCATTGAGTCGTTCTCGTCCGTTGGCGGGAAGTAGAGGAAGAAAGAACAGAGAAGGGATGGCGAGGAGAGGGTGTGTATGTGTGCGCGTGCACGCGCGCGCGCACCTGTGAGTGTGTGTGTGTGTGTGAGAGAGAGAGAGAGAGAGAGGGTAGTGTTGTGGGATATTGTGGAAATTGTTAATAATTGAGAGGTAGGGAAGGGGTGGAAACAGAGGTGGAGCGGTGCTCAGGGAGAGGACGGCCACGCGGAGAGAGAGAGAGAGAGAGAGAGAGAGGGTAATGTTGTGGGATATGGAGAGAGTTGGAAATTGTTAATAATTGAGAGGGAGGGAAGGGGTGGAAAAAAGAGGTAGAGCGGTGCTGAGGGAGAGAAGACGGCTACCTTTCTCTTTTGATTGAAGCTCTTGTGCGCACATGTGGCCAGTTTCAGGCGTCTAGGTCTGTCGCCACTGATTTCAGCAGTTAGGGCATAATCTTTTGAGGGATTTTCGGCACTGAATTTGACCGTGTTTGTGTTCAGATACGTCATATGAAGTCTCTGAGTACGTCGCCAGTGACAAAGCTTGCTCTTCTTCTCGCCTGCGCCGCAGTCGGTAGAGATGCATCTGTTTTTAATTTGGTCACGCGCCGATGTCTTTCTGCTGATGAAGTGTCAAGCAGGAGCATATTGTATTTAGGGATGTCGTCAAACTGGCATTTTTTTCTTTCTTTCTTGATGAATCTGGTCTCAATATGGCCATTTGTTCATGATCAGTGCTGCACTTGCACCGCCTCCCTTCTTGCAGAAGTTG